AGACACCCCCATTTTTGTACCTTTGTTGATCCTAAATTGCTTTGCACAGATAGTCCAGAGACCTTGAGTTTTCAGATACTGCATTATTTGTCCTGTATTATTGAGTCTGGAACAGCCCAAAACACACCTAAAGTAGCGTTACTAAGGCCAAAAGTGTCCCACAGGTGGGACTGTGTGCATATGATTTCTACCTTATTTTTAGCTTTTTAGACAGTCAGTAAACAACATAGGAAGCTGCACATGCAGCGACAGCATTCTCTACTGCAGAAACACTAGATGTCGCAGATTCTTTTAAAAAATAAATCTCTTGTTTAGGATTGAAATGTCTGTTTAATAATGGTCCCTATCGCATTAATACAAACTCCTACATAAAAAAAAGAGAAAACCAGACCCAAGCCCACACAGTGTATTGATTTAAGTTCTGTTATCTCATTGTTTAGCACTTATACAGCTCTCAGTTTACGACCTATAAACTTGGGCCCTTTTCTATAAAGAACATGTGGATAATTATAGCTGTAACACAGAATGAAACTAGTTAGAAAGACACGTGGAGATTAGATGAAGCACAGCCCCATCTATTGTCTGAGGTGTTTTTCTTTTTGTCTGCAACCTTCAGAAAGGATGTGACATTACTGTCTTCAGACATGATATAAGACAAATATGGTCTTTCATCTGTGGCTTCATGCTCCTTCCTTATCTCTGCTTGGTTCTCCCCCCAGAAGTCCCATCCATCTCTAATCCCAGCCCTTTACTTTCTCCCTCTTTCCATCTGTCTTTATCTTTTCTTCCTCTCATGCTCCTCCTGCCTGCCTGTCAGCTGCCCGAGGGGCAGTGCAAGAGAGTCAAAAAGAACAATCTCGAGTTTGGTGGTGAAATGAGCAGAAAAAGAGAGAGAGGATGTGGGATAGTGGTAGTTGCTGTCTAAAATGGCAAAGCTGCTGCCTTTTTGCATGTGTGTGTGTGTGTGTGTGTATGTCCTAAACACCAGGTGATCATTACCTCCGTGCTGAAGTCTGTTGACTGGAGGGGACAGTTCATTGTTAGAAAATCCTTGTGTGACACTTGTTACCCCCCCACCGCCCAAAAAAAAAAAAAAAAGTTGCTTCCATGTGCCTTAAGGATAATGGAGAAATTGAATCCAGTTGTTTCTGACTGATGGCTGTTCCATTGTTGTCTGAAAATAGGTGCTGCTGATATGAGACTCAGTCAATACCATTCCCCTTGGGAGGGCGTCAGAAATAGTACGAGCAAAATAATGAGTAGGTGTCTTTTAAAAGTGAGAGTTTCACCTTCCTTTTTCTTTTTTAGAGTTTAGAGAGAAAGGGAGGGAGATGATAAGGGAGAGTGTAACAGACGGTAGGCCTACACAACACAAATTGGTGGCGAGGATGTATTCCTCCACCAGCCCCTCAGAGTGAGACTTGCCATGTGTGATTCACGCACCTCCTTAGGGTATTCTTGAACCCTTGGGGAAAAAAAATAATCAAACTTAACGTGCACATGCTCCCATAAACACAAAACTTCTACAATGAACATGCGTTAATGCAGGGTAAGGTAGGATGTGGGACTGTAGCTGCAGAGGGTTTGAGGCATAAACAGCTGGGAGTGTGTTATCTAACTAACGTACACAGGGCAAGACAAAACAGAAGTAGATTAAAAAGCTGTAGAGAGGAGCAGCCTGCGCTCACCATGCGGATACCTGATTCATGGATACAATATAAGATGGAGTTTCGATTATAATTTACACAGCAGTTAAGAGGTACAGTTTGCGTCAGGCCATCAGGGGAATAGAGTTCCATTTTTGTTTAAAATCTGTGGCTTAATGAGGCTTGTCTTGCACACTTGGGTCTAAGTGCATTATTGCTAGCGCAGTGAAAACTAAAACCAAAACTATTATTTCAAAGTTTCGATCCGTACCATCAGAGCAGTGAAAATGGATTAGATGAAGATCTATAGCTAGCAGAGAGCACGTGCTGTACCTGAGCGAAGGCCAAGCTCACATTGTGTATTATATTTAAGGGAGATAATGGGGATAATATAACATACATGAACTGGTAATGCGGAGACAAGGAGTGACAGATTTACAGTCGCAATCATTTAAACTGAAAGTAGCAAGGATCCTGGCACATTAAACGATTCCTTCTCTGCGATGCACCCAAAACAATTTCTCGCTTGAGTGGCCATACTTGCTTGTTCTGCAATCTGATTAAGCCGACTCTCGGCCAGGGGAGAGACGGGAGAGGGTCTTTGTCTTCTTGCAGTACTCTCTCTGTCTCTCCCCTCTCTCTCTCTCTCTCTCTCTCTCTCTCTTTCTCTCTCTTGCTCCCTTTTTAAACCATCCGTTCACTCTCAGCTTAATAACAGTCATCTGTAACGATAATTGTGAGATTGATCTGGACATGCATGGCATTAACGGCATCCATTTGTGAGATTAGTGTTTGTTCTATGAAATGGCCTCCTCTTAAAGATGCAGGAAAAAAAAGTTGCCACTGTCATCAGCACTTTCAAAATTTGAATGGGAGCACGTTCTAAAACTGTTGTAATGGAATAATTCAAGTCATGTATGAATTTATAGATTGAACTTTATACATCTGTACATATTTACACAGGCACTCGTGGTCCAAAACACAATGCCAGGATATGGCCTGACAAAGAAGAAAATGATGCACACTTCAGCTTCAGAACTGCCACGCATAGATGTGATAAAAATCTTGAATTATTCTCTGAACTGGTGATAAAGTGATGCTTGAAAAGATGCTGACAGCATGAATCATACTGTTTGCCTTAATAAGAGGCAGACAGGCCAATTCTGGAAATGACAAAGAGCAAAATTAGAGATGTGGGTGATTCTTTTATAAAAATGGAAGGGAAACAATTGCCTATCAGAGGCCTATGATTAGACCGTAATTGCTTCATTTGGAATATAGATAACCAATCTAACCCACTTTTTGGTACATGTTGAATTTTTTTTTAATTCTAGTTTTCCTGAGAAGCTTTATTAGCATTGTGCTGCTTTACACATAGTACACTTCCAAATCAGAGAGTGGCTCAGTAAACAGTATAATGTCATACTCAGTTACTTCTTGATCACATTAGTCTGGACATGTTGAACTAACTGAAGAACAGTATTTAACTAGGATTTAGTATATAATCAATTTAATTAGTAATTTTTGTCCTAATAGTTTATATATTTAAAAAAATATATCAAAAGGTTTGGAAAAAGTAAAAGAATTCTGCACCAATAAAAATACAAGAAGTGGCTGCTATCGGCCTTTTTCATAGGCAGACTCATGCTTTTTCAGGCCTGTCTTAAAGGTGCTATATGTACGTTTTTGCTATCGCTACATACCCAAGGTTAGCATTAACAGCAGTTTAGTTACCGTTCTAGCAGAAATGTTGTGAATTCAGCATCAAACTTCATTCCCTTACTCACCAAGAGCTGTCTCCAGTGGTGGGACATAACGCCAATGTTAACTCTTGTTTTGCTTCTATTTCTGTAACTTTATTAGCTATTAGCAGCTAGCCCCAGCCCGTCCTGTCTCATAGTACTATTTGCAATAGTGAGTCACTGTAGCATCCAGTCTGCCCTCAGTTCACCATGGGTGGATGAAGACGCACTGTTTATCACAAGGTGTTTTTTAACCTCTTGTGCTGTAAACACAACAAAGGCTGAAGCTTTTGGCAAGTGACCCCCCATAAAGCATCTTTAAAACTACATTCACATGATCATATGTATGTTGAAAGTGTCAATGGTTGTGGTTCCCCAGTAGCTTAGAGCATGTACCGCATATCAAGGCTGAGTCCTTTCAAAGGTATTCATTTCAGTACAAAATTCCTGCTATTCCCTTGCCGAGCTGCGGTGCAGGGCTAGTTACAAAAGGAGGGACTAACTGGACAGGAGGAACTATAAAGAGATATTTGTGAAAATGTGAACCTGTCCATTAATATCACTGTATGACATCTTACAAGTCTTTACACTGTGCTTAATGCATGGTAACTCTTTCTATTAGTCACACTAAGTAGCACGTAATTGCAAGTTAAATACAAAAGTAGGATATGTAATTTACCAAATAATTAAAGTCATTAGACTAGACAGAAAAACGCCCAGCACATGGTGATATAGTTAAAACACTAATTGTGACTCATCACTTCAAGTAATTACAGTATTGTATTATGATGGAGGAAAAGGTTTAGAAATGGTAAATTGTATTCTTTCCGAGATCTCTTAATATTGAAATAATTCACTGCAAATTACTTTCTTTTAAACTCAGTAAAACTCTATCTATTCTTTCCACCTTAGCTGAAATATTTTTCAGGCAATGCAGATCTACAATGTTGATCCACCAGATACTGTAATTTATAGATAAGTTTTCATATGGTTCCCTTCAGTTCAATGTCTGGACTGAAATAACTTTCTCTTGTTTTGTCTGTGCAATATGAAGGACTTGTATTATTGATATGAGTCTGTTTACTCTGTCTTTGAATCATCTGGGAATCTAGACGAGGTCCCTGAGAGCTGTCTTCTGGAGTAAATTCAGTTATTCTCAGGTGTGTGAAAACCTCATTGAGGGAGGTTTTACACACTCGAAATCCACTGTAACTGGGACTCTTTCAATTAGACTTTCAAAGACACTATATAACTCTGAAGTTTCAGTGCTGAAATAAGAATACTCCCCTTGCACAGACACACAGAAAAACATGTGGAAAACAATATGAAAGCAAGGTATTTCAGTCTGATGCAGCTCTAAGCTTAGTAATGATAGATATGTTTTGTTAAGGTCAAAGGTTTCCAGTATGACAGCAACAGACATCGAACATCATGTTTACTTTTCAACACTGATGCACTTGGCTCCAGTCCAATGACAGGCAGTCCTACAACTACCTAACAACTCCCACACACACACACACACACACACACACACACACACACACACACACACACACACAGAGCCTCACTCTTTCTCTCCCTTACACACGCTCCACAGAGGCTCCAACTAGCTTCTATTCTGGTGATCATAATTATTTGATGGCGTAGCTTCTGGTTTCTCAACCACCCTTTTGTACACACGATCTAGCTGTGAATAATTTAGCACAGGGAGCTAGAAAGGTGGGTCCCTTAAAACAGCAGGTACAGTCAAACTCAGGAGGCAGGACTCAAGGAGAGAGCTCTATCATCCACCCACTCCTTACACACAGCTCTTCAGTCTGGCTCTCTTAGCCTGTGCTTCCATAGAGCCGTGTAACGATCCATTTCTTCATCCATCCATCTGTGCGTCCTTTCATCACATCAGGCACCGCAGTGTCCAGCTGAAGTGCGTTTGCCGCAGGTCAGGAACCTCTTGGACGGACTGACGCTCTCGCTCGGTCCCCTCTTCATTCAGCCACCATGGAGGAACTCCAGAGAAAACTGAACCAGCGCTATGAAGGCACCAAGCCCAGAAAGGTGAGTTATTTATGGGACCACTTTCTTTCAACTTAGTGGGCTTTGAAGTACTTTGAGCAAAAGACATATTGAGGTCATTTCCATTAGAGAGTATTCTGTTTTTTTATGCAATTGTGACGGATAAGCTTTACATTATAGCACATACTATAACCAGCTGAAGCTGGTATGCTTGATAGCTTTGCATCTGATGTTGTTCAAATGTAAACTGAGAGAGGGAATGAAACAGGACGTTAGCTTGTATGTTGACAAGCTACAAATATATGTGTGTGCAGCCCTATTGTCTGATCAAACAGCATTTTTCTTTTCCTACTCATTAACCCTCTTTTACTGTGCCAGGAAGCTATGCAAATGAGTCATGCAGTAGTTAACATGTCAGGACATCTTTCCATGTCACCACTCAAAACCACAGGTGAGGTTCAAGCTGGCGTCGTCCTACAGCGGTCGGGTGCTGAAGCACGTGTACGAGGACGGTCAGGAGCTGGACAGTCCAGAGGAGAAATACCCTCACAGCTTTGTCCACCGCAAGATCCCGCCCAGCCACCTGGAGATGGAGCAGCTCTGCGGGTTTGAGGACACTCATGGGGACCAACAGGGTGGGTTGTTCTCATCGTGTGACTACTCTGTCTTACCTTATATGCATGGTTGCACTGAGGTTTGTTTGTCTGGGCTCGTATGAAAGCCGAGACCAACAAGATGTGCATATTCCATTTGTATATGGTACTCCAGCCCATACTGGGGAGTGATTTGCATGAAATTAATCGGCCATGTTTCCCTAAGCATGTTTTTACTTTGATTGTAATGACTGTGCATGAACTGAGTCACTGCTGCACAGTGTGTTTGTATTCATGTGTGCACACTAGAGCTGCCAGTGTGCTTTCAAACATCTTAAATACCATGTGCCACCTCAATATTTATAATATTTGTGATGATGAACAACTGAAGGCTGAACTTACACAATCAGTAGCCCACCTATTTGCACTGATCACAGTGTAATCAGCTATAATAGTGGCATGTTCTGTAAGCCCTATTTTTTGCCAATCATTTTTAACTGATGGAGAAATAGAACATGCTAAGCCAAAACATGTTGTTTCTGTCACCCAGTTGTATAAGAAAGATGTTTTCCCTGCAGTGATGGCAGAGTTAGCGATCTTGCTAAAATAAAATATACTTGATTCCTGTGTGCAAATGCACACTGCCAGTTTCAAAAATGAAATGTTCAAATACCAAGCTATTTTATCATATGGTAACATAGTTTGCTTTTTCATGTTTCATGTTTCTAGTGTAGTTTACTAACTCAAGACATGATTAGAATAACCATATAGTGTGCAGTTAATGGAATAGTTCAACGTTTTGGGGAAATACTCTTATTTCCTTTGCTGCAGAGAGTTAGAACAACCCTCATATTTATAGTAAAACTGAAACTAATACTGATAGCTGCTTATCATATCTTAGCTTACTTTAACATGATTTAGTTTATTTTTAGCTAAGCTTATTTTAGCTTAGCTTAGTTTAGCTTTGGCTTGAATACAGGAAAGATAATGAAATTAATCTGCTAGCATCTCCAAATGCTCATGAATTAACATGCAATGTCTTGTTTTTCTAATACATACAAAAAAGCAAAGTGAAAAAAAATGGCAATTTGCTGTTTGACAAGAGCTGTACAGCTATTTCTCAGCTGGGAGCTGTAACTTCACCGGTTGCCTCGCAACAGTTCCCTGCAATTTAAGTATGCTTGTTGGAATTTTTACAATACATTTTATTTTTTCATGTTTCTGGTTAGAATTCACCACTTACTCAAAAGTAGAATAGAATAAGTGCGCTGTTAAAATAGATGAATGCTACATTAGCTAACTCAGCAAGCCTGTCAGGTCACACCTGGTTATGATTGGTTCATTTAGTCCAAAATATCAGACAAGCACATCATTGTCTTACAAATACATACTGTTTGTTGATGGAACTATAGGGCTTGAGTCTCAAATCTCCGGTACATGTTCTCACGCTGTCCTGACAACATTTTTCATTCTGTACCCAGGTGTCTATCCTCCAACAGGGCTCATTGCCCAGAGAATCAATGTGTACAGAGGAATGGGAGGCTACAAGCCTACTGCCAGCCAGACTGAAGACGCAGAGGGAGATGTCAATGTAAGTAGTGCTTGTAAGCTTGCTGGTTTTGATTCTTGAATTTTGATGCAGTTCAAAGTGAGAGTTAGATCGGATTTCCCATTAGTAGTGTCGTTTTTGTCTCCTTGCATGTCAAGTACCAACACCTGTCTTCAATGTCTGTAGACTGTACAGTAATGACAGTAACCTACTAATGTTGTGAGCACCCAGCTCACATTATGAGCTGTCGCTATGTTAGCCTGACATGGGCCTTTGGTAACACTGTATGTGGAGCTTTGCTACAACAGATGCCAGCTGTCACAATTCGCAAACAATAATGGTAACATTTCAGGACATGAACATTAATCTTAAAAACACTACAGTGTGGTAAAAGAACGAAAACATTACCATCTTCACAATACTTGATTCTCTCAAGAGAAAGAGTCACAGTTATCATGCATTTATCTTTGTAATGAAGGGTTTATGCAGCACAACCCCACTATAATATCCCTGTCTGTGTAATTTTCAACGGACTGTTATTGCTTATACGGTCTGATCACGTCCTGTATTGACACTCTCAGTCACCTGTTTTTCCTTATATATCACACTAATGCATGAGCATCACGATCATCAAATGTGCTCCGTCGACCACAATTTCCAACCCTATTTACTGATGCCTTTCCCCTAGATCTTAATGTCTTAGAGACTGAAGCTCCTGCCATTGGTGCCCCAAAAATGAACCCTCTTTCAAAGTCACTTAGATCTTTTCCTCTTTCCATCTTGATACAAAAATCAGAATCAGTTAGACCTGCTCAGCATTTTGATACATGCCACAGAGCATGATCGGATGTTCGGATGCTTAATTGTACCGTGTCAGTGCACCTGTCTGGAGGCATCTTCATTTGTCATGTTTCCCAACTCATTTTTTTCCTCTAGTTTTTCATAGTCTATATGTGTCCTTTTGTTTATAGGGCAACAAGACAGGCCATTTGATTTCCCCCTCCACAAACTCCAATAGTTTCAGAAACATATAATCAACATCAAATTCAATGGCAAAATGAATTATTTGCAGCACCTGTCTGCAGCCTCAGGGAGTTCTGCAAATCACTTTTGTTCAGTTTATTTACAGTGTGAACAAAGAAAAACACAACCATCGCTATGATCCTGTATGTGGGAGTTGTGTATATTAACTGCCTGAGATTCATGTATGGTATCTCTCCTGAATAGATCATTTGTAATGTGTGTTGAATTTAAGTGGAAGAAAGCAGAAACATTATGAAAGTATTCATGGATAAGACTTCCTATAGAGGAAGTTTGTTAACTCCTTAAAATCATGATTTCATGTTTCTGACACCTTTGAATGGCAAAATATTAATGTCTTTGGATATACTTACATAATGGGAGGTATAATAAGAAAGTACAACAGCTCCTCGGAAGAGTTACTGTTTCTTTTTTTTTAAACTCCACAGCGCACCACAATTCTACATATGCTGAAAAGCAAAGAGACAAACCAAAATAAACACAGTTATCAGCCAACGCAAAGTAATTTAATAATGAATTCATATATCCTTTAGAACAGAACAAGCGATTGAGGCTTGAAATAGAAAATGACAATCCTTGGGTAATTAAAGTATCAACTGCATGCTGCGCAGTTAAAATTGTACAACAGCAACAACAGCAACAAAATTGTTGATCTGACAGGAAAAAGCCAGTTTTACTGAGCTGCTGTGGCAGTGGCTTCATTAGTACAGCAGGCTGAGAGGGAGGTCAGCCACATTGCCTGCTGGCCTAGTGTCAGTTTCACTCTTTTATCCCGTAAACAAAGGCACACTTTGCCCTGGTGACCGAGGGCAGTATTTATCACATTTATCAGTGGAAGACAGCAATCTGGATTTAGTTTATCCTTTAAGGCCATTATTGAAAGGACAGTACAGTGGTCCTAGAGGAGCATCTCTACTGTACACGGTCTAATGAGTTTTTCCCTAAATAACTTCAATGCTTTTCTAGAATAAGAGAGACTCAATACAGAAAGAAAAAAAAAAAACTCTAGTGGGTTTTCCTTGTGGATGTTATATTTGAAATCAATTCATCAGATCATTCTAAAAAGGTCAAAAACAGAAACTATGGTCCAGACAGTGAGTTTGGAAATGAACAAAATAATCACAGTCACTGGTAGGTAACAATCAACAATACAGCCTTGCCGATATGGTATTGTTGTAAAATCTGATTCATTTTTCCTACATTAATTTCTCTGATTCATTTTTTTCATTACACAATGTTAAATTACTCACAGTTGGACCACTTCAATATGGCTTGGATTAGTATAAAACTTCTTTCTGTTAAATCATCAGCATGTGTTGCTCTCAACGGCAACAGTAAAGCATTCCTAATTTGCCTCTGCAATAATTTGCACCTCTGATTGGCTTCTTCTCCTGCTTAGCAACGACAGCTGAGCCTCATATTGTAGTGTTTTGAGCCATTCACCGTGCCATAATTACATGAACATATAGGCTTCCAGAGCCAGTGCCTCCTCGCACTTCACAACTCTATGGTCATCACAATCTGAATCTCTAAAGAAAAATGTATGTTATACTCATAACAAATAGTTACCTTAGTAACCTTTGCTAACTTCGTTGTTTCCTTCTTCCTTCCTCATGCACAAACAAATGCAGATGATGTACACTGAGTTAATGATAAACGTGTTGAAACAGAGATCAGTGGCTTCTCTCCAGACTCTTGATAACCATGAAGGAGGAAATCATTGTTTAAAGTGGAATAACTGTTTCTAATTCCTCCACCACCATAAGCCCCAAGAGACCAAAACACAGCTACAGAGCATGTTTTCTATTTTGAACAAGTGTGCGACTCTTCAGCTGCATTCAAATAGAAAACCTCTTCTCACCCACACACATAAAGCCCACAGCTAAATGTGGGCACGCTCTCAGATTTTCCAGATTTGCAGCGATGAAATCTGGGAAATGTAGGAAACACGAGCAGAGGCTAATTAACATTCTTAATCACAGGATGCATCAGATGTCAGTAATATAAATTGACGTAGGATTATATGACACTTTCTTTTTTCCTTCAGTCCCCAGTGTTGGACTTTGGTAAGATAATCATCTACACCAGCAATCTGCGCATCATCAGAGCACCACCGAGGAAGCCCGAAGCGCTGCGGCACCACACAGTGCCCCGTGTGGACTTGGAGGGGTACGCAAAGGCCAGAGAGAGGGGGAGCAGGAGGAAGGCTAAAGTTCCTTTTACGCAGGATGGGGAGGAGAAGGAGGAGGAGAAACAGATCAGCGACTCAGAGACGAAGGTAATGGTCCTTAGCCAAATTATTCTCAGTGGTGTGGTACGGTTTTTATCACCCCGTTTCTTTTTCAGTCTCACTTTATCCTTCTCCTCCTCTTCCCTGCTGTTTCTTTCTCTGTATACATCCTAAGCCATCCTTTCTCCGCTTCATCTTCGCATTCGCAAGACAATAACTGCAGGATGGTCTGTGCACCTATATTCTTGTAATTCAAAACTGTTCACATAGGGGTGTTTATTCTCATCCCACAATCTCCTTTGTGTTCCCTTGAAACTGCCACCTTATTTGTGCCTATATTCTTTTCTTTTCCTTGTGGCCCCCCTCCTGCTCCAACCACCCATTGTCCTAGTGCTATCTGTCAACTGTGAACAGATACTGATGAGTCCACAGTTTTACTCCACCCTTGCAGCATTTGCCTGCCACTTACCAGCCTGCAAGGATACCTATCTCCCTGTTCTTCCCTCCCTCTCACCTTCTTGGGTGATTACTGCTGTCTCCCCTTCACTCCCTCCATCCTTTTCTCACCTTTTTTCTCGTTATTTTCTCATTTTCTCTGTCACTAAAAAAAAAAAAAAAAAAAAAAGTTCAGCCTCAGCTTTTTTTCATTATTTGGCAATCCCACTCTTTTTTTCATCATCTTTCCCTTTGCTGCCCAAACTCTGAGGTCGTTAATTTTTTTATTTCTTCACACATTAGCTTAGATTTATACTTTGGGTGTGCACACATTTTGCAACCATTTATCCACTATGAACTTCACTATCACCATCATAGCTGACCATTATAATATAGTAGCTACGTATGTCACTAACTCTACGTGCAGCTTGGGGCTTATCGGCACTGATACCAATACCTTGACTTCAATAGTGATTCTTTTCTATACCAAGTTTAGTTTTATTTTAGTTTTATTTTTAAGCTCGGCCTCTTTACACACCCAAACGTGTCCGTGTAGATAAATAGCCGATTGCCAGCATTATTAGATCTTGGTCCACGCATGTTGAATGCTTATTCACTCATTAAAGCTAATGAGATTTACTCATTTAGCCCTTAGGTATTGAAATTTTTTATCAAACGACAAGGCATTTTTCTATCCTTGATAGTATCAAACCAATTCTGTTCAAGTTTGATATCCATTTTACTACAGCTTAAACTAATGTAGATTTACATGCATTGAAACTAGTTCTATGTTTTAATTGCAGCAGTGCAGCAAGTCATTAATGGACCACATGGGAGCACAACGAAGGAACGTTCAGTCCTCACTAAATTTCACTTGTTGTTTGCAGTGCATTTCAGATGCAAACATGTGCTTGCAGAGTGTCGGGCAATGTTGGTCTAATAGTTACTGATTATCTGCTTCTACTTGTAACCAGTAGTCTTGCAAAAACAATTATCTAAAATCAATAATATCTTTATCACTTTCAGTGTGCCACAGGTCTTAGATTTATAGAGTCTCTTCTTAAAGCATGCATCACTAAGCAGTCCGTCTCTGTGGGTGTCCTAAAGGAAATCCTGAAGGGTCAGAGGTGAATGGCGTTTTGTTCGAGGCACTTTAATACTTAAACACACTTGAAACCTCAAGAACATCCTGGCAGCTCAGGAAAAATAATTCACAGACCTCCAGTAGTTTGTAAAGATTTAAACATAAGCTCGTTGCACATCTTCTGTCGCCCTGTTGATAATGTACAGGCAGCTGCTCATTATTGTAAAAATTTAGCAGTAATGACCAGTTGGCTGTAAAAATGACAGGCTGGCTGTAGATCATCCCGGAGCTACTCACCAAAGTAATTTCATTGGAAATAATATTGAAAAAGAAAAAAAATCCTCTATGTTGTTAAGGTTGTTCAGTGTTTTCCAGCAGGCAGGCCACTTAAACTGGATGTGTTAATGTTGGCTATGTATGAACTGGCTTAAACTCTCGCAAGTTAATCAGTTTTGGAACAGTTGCCACGTAAAAGATTGGGAATATTTTGAAATGTAAAATAGTGGTTTATTATAATAATTAAAAATATAATCAAAGTCAGTTTTTTTTAGAATTAGCCAACCCTCAGAATGATGTCTGAAGGCCAGTCGGCTGTGTGTTTTCCGCTCAATCTCTAGCCTTATGTCCCTTGTTATCACCTCTTGCTCCCCTTTTTACCCTTTGCCTAACCTCACAGTTCGTCTCTTTTCACCTCCTCTTTCTCCTCCCCTCCTCTCCTCTAATGTGTTTCTTCCCCCTCCAGGAGACCGACATCTGCCAGCATTGTGGCGGTTCGGGCTGCGCTCCCTGCTCTCTGTGTCACGGTAGCAAGCTGTCCATGCTGGCGAACCGCTTCAATGAGTCCATCAGTGATCTGCGTTGCCAAGCCTGCTACCCCCATGGTCTGGAGAGGTGCCAGTCCTGCTCCAGCAAATAGCACTGTTTGGCTGACACCCATGTTTGGCAGTGAGAGCGCGAGCGAGTGAATGAGAATGTGTAGCTGTGAGTGAGCGTGTGTCCGATGTGCTATCGGTTTGTCAGAATTGTCTCAGTGGCAATATTGCTCTAATCCAAAACGTTCTTGGTGGGGTGTTTCGAAGCACTACGAGGAAACATAAGCCATCATTGGAGAGGGGAATTGTGACTGTGCAGCAGGCACAAAAATCATAAAATACAATTACTGTGTGCAGTGAACATGGCTTGTGATAACACAAACACATAATCACTCTTTTGTTGTCACGTTATTTTGCATCTGCACCCTCCTTCCCGATAAAACCTGGTTCCACGACAGAGTTATCGTTCTAATTAAAAACGATGCAAACATTTTGCGTTTTATTTTTATCTACCGGGAAGGCAGCCCTGCTCCTATCTCCCCTCTCTATTCACTAGAGAGAATGAAACCTTTTTCATCTCTACATGATGTACTGCATGAGGGTAATTGACACTTTCATTTAATTATTTATTTTTCAAAACAGAGGGGAAAAAGGAGACCGGAGGATAAAGAGTTTGAGATGGAAGGGAAGGGAAATACAGTGAAAGATGCGAGTGAGAGAGAGAAAGAGAGAGAGACAAAAGGAGATAGTTTCATTAATGGTAACAGCATAAATCGGGGGGGGGTTATGATTTAGAGTGCGCTCCACCAAAATATGGCACCACTGCTTTGAGGAGGGTGATGGCGAGACACAGAAAGCAGGAATCGTCCGTACAAGTTCCAGCTGATGACAGCTACTGTTGTTAGTAAGGAGAGAAGTTACAAACTTTTAAGCCCCCCATTTCAAGCCCACAGAGTATTAAGTGTGACATTTTAAAATATAGACTTTGGATTGAGGAAGAGGTAGAGACGAGATAGAGAGAAGAAGAAAGAAAGAGCGGCTAAATAAAAGGCAGAGATACTGTAGACCTGCTCAGGAGGTTAAATGATGGCGATTATGATTGAGGCTTATGATTTTCTTTTTGTTGTTTTTACTTAATAGTCTCATTCTCAGGTTTTTGCCACTCCAATTTATTTCAAAGCTTAATCCATACAGTTTTGGTATATGAATGAAATAAAACACCTAATTCATCTTCAGTGTACCCTTTTCTCTCTGTGTCTAACAACTGCTGTTTTAAAGCGTAGCTTATTTAGTATTGGTTTATTAACACAAAGACGATCATGTGGCTCAGAGGCAACAATGACTTTGTTATCTGCTTCTTAACAAATATCAACAAAACCCCAAAATCTCCATGATGACTGATATTTTATGATTAGTGCGTAGCGAAAGTCATTGGTTTTTTTTTCTTTAAGTTGTTTTTTCACTGAGCAGCATATCAGTCAGGAGTGTCACTATCATATCAAAGATGTTTGATTTTTATGGCTGTAATCTGCACAGATCTAAACGCACCCTGCAGTCGGAGTGTGCTTCATCATTCCAAACGCAACGTGGTCGCCGACTGTAATGTGTGAAAGTCATTCCTTAAATGTTTGTTCGTGTTTTCACAGTGGGGTGGGAATGTTTGTTCGTGTGTTCCCAGCTTGAAAACTGAAATGGAACATAACCAAATGCAAGACAAATGCAACACGCTGCATAGTTCCATTACATCTTAGTCATTACACCTCAAATTAACTGCTATCAACCATAATATTTTGTCTCGTGCCATTTCAGGATGATTTAATGATTTAACAAGAAAAAGAAAATTAAACATTATCGCCTCAATAGCAAAAGGCTTTTTTAATAGTTTTCCATGCTGCTATTGACAGCACTATTGACCTTCATGCAATTATGCATTTCTTCTGTGGCCACATTAGCACCTTCCAGGATTACATTAATCACTTACTATACTTAGGTTGTTACCCACACAGAATGTGTTATGTTTTTCTTATATCTTGTGCATTTGACTTCAATTAGCAGATGTGTGAAGGTGGAGTTAATGGTTTTCCTTTATAGAAAAAAGTCAGTCCGTCTTCTATGCCTATACCTGCTCCATAATCAGATATGAACCGAGCCAAAGGATATTTTGCAGTGGCTGCTGAAATGGCGTTTTTTTGCCACTATACTTATGCTGCAGGGCAGAGGTGATCAATCAAAATCAGTGTTAGCAGTGGAGAGCACTGGCCACCTCCTCCAAGGTGTCGGTGGCCCAAACCCATGCCAGAACAAGCACCCCGTATCATTACAGCCCACTATCCTTGCCCTCACTCCCATCTTTGTTCGTGCATTTCTATTATTTTATCTTATCGTGTTAGATAGCCTCACGCACTGTTAAAGAGCAGACTGTATGGCTTATCAGCAGCCTGGCCTAAAGCCCCATCAGCAATCAAATCCCTGCTATTTCTGGGATCACAGGATAAACCTGAATCTCCACTCTCCTTCTTTTTCCCTCTACTTTCTCTCTCTCTCTCTCTCTCTCTCTCTCTCTCTCTCTCTCTCTCTCTCCCTCTCTCCCTCCCTCCCTCCCTCTCTCTCTCTCGCTCTCTCCCCTCTCTCTCTCCCTCTCTCTCTCTCTGGCTGTTCTGCCTTAAAATCTGCCACTTACTGACGTCAAAACTGAGCTTTTTAACTCTGCCAGAAAAAAAGGTTGAGTCCATCTGCACACTGGATTATGTCTCCCAAACTTTATTAGTAATGAACAGGCAATGTTTTGACACAACAGGCAAAATGACAGGACAAGGTATATATATATATATATATATACACAAAATTAATTACATCCTGCTGCTGTCAGTGTTAACTAACCAACCAAACACAAATGAAACAACAGGGATACAGCATACAGATTGTACAAGACTTAACGGTAAAGGGAGGGAAAGTCAGGCAGAGACATGACCAGTTTACAAGATGATCAGCCAGACCACAACTCTGGACAGTGTTTCAACAAATAAAATCTAAAATCCAAAAGATGAGAGCCCGTAGCAGTTGGATTTTTAGAATGAGAGGTTTACAAACACGGCTTGATTTTAAAATCCTCACTGACCTCGACTTGGAGACGGAGGAAATAAATCAGCAGGGCTCCACATTTCTCCTTTCTCATTATCCCCACCTCTTTTTGGCCTCTTCACCTCCTCAAAAACAATGTATCTCGGTGCCCCTACACAATGAAAAATGGCTTTTTGATGAAATGTTGCGTCAGTAAACTTTTGGAGGTATATATTCCAGTGTGTGGATACTTTCTACTTTTTCCCGTGCTTCCCTTTTCTACTTGTCTACATCCGTATTTATCCTTTGTTTTCTATAAAAACACCTGGAAACCTATCAATAAATTAAATTTGATAAATACACCCAAAGTGCAGTATTTTGATAGTGATAACACCTCTGTTAGTAACGCTGAGCTCTTAACCCACCCACAGTTCTTCGAAGCAATACAGCAAAGATCTTACTTTACTGATTAATGCACTGACTTAACTTTTGCTTACTGCGTTTCGGTGGGTGGACACACACTCCCACACATGTGTAAAGCCACTATATCTGCTGCTCTTATGATACATTGCGGAACATTACATCAAATAGTCATTTATTAGGGATTCTCGTTATCAAATAATGCCCTGTTTAATCACGGCGGCAAACAATGGTTTATGAATATAGAGGGAAACACTTTCCCCAGTGGCAGCATCATCATTTACGATGCTTTATAGATATATCTGTGTATCTCTTATAGCCCAGTCGCAATATATGACACAGGAGGCAGACTGGGAGCAGACTGCGCACATTAATCATGGAACTCTCATACGAGAATATTGCACTGTGTAGGGAAGTGAGCCACGTTTAATCTGCAGGCGCTTGAACTTTCTCTGTTTGGTTAGTAGCACGATCATTCTGTCTTCCTGTCTGTGTCTTTTTTAACTCACTCCCTCTCCATCACTTGCCTTTCATACCTCAACACAAATATACTGTCATCATAACGGATGAATCCACTGTGTAAATCCTCCACCTAAATGAGCTTGAAACTTGCCGTTATTACACTGCTTGGTATAAATTCTGGTCCAAAAGACCTTTCACTCTTTCAAGGCAGAACAAGCCCATTGAATAGAAAGTGTGGCATCTTAGCAACAGCTAAATGTTATATAATTGTATCGGTTTGCAGTGCTTAGACACAGTACATGCCTTTTCTCTTTGGTTGCAGCAGCAGGGTGCAGGAGTGATTAGAGAGACTGTCCTTCAGTGGATGGATCAGGCTTTAAGCCTCCATCAGAGCGAGCATTGACCCTGCTGACGCATCATTTGGCAAAACACTGAACCCCCCTCCAGCTCCTATTAGCTGATCTGCACCTCTGACCTCTCTGTGGAGGGCTGAGGAGGAGCAGCCATGATTTTTTTTTTTCTTTCAAATGAGCAGGGTAGCCTCCTACCCCACCCACATGTAATTAACTATTTATTTATTTATTTAACCTTGATTTAACCAGGTGACTCCCAGTGAGATTACAAGATCTCTTTTTCATGGAAGCTCTGGCCAAAACAGCAGCAATATGGTGTTCCAGACAACATATAGAAAACATTTAATAAAATAAAATAAAATAAAATAATTCACACAATAAAATAGAGCACACAATAAGAGCTCACAGAATCATAATCCTAATAAGAAAGACATGGGGTGACATGGAAAGACATATAAGGATCAACAACAATCTGCAACAGAGGAGTCGAGTGTTATAGATAAATATTTATATGATTCATATGCATATTATCAGTCATGAGGTAAGTAAGACGATCAGTTTTGTAGTGCTATATAAGATCTTTTTGTTGTGTTTTTATTGTGTTCATTATTGTTTTGTCTCACATTGTCTTACAATATTGTGGAAGCAAATGTAAAAAAACACTTTTTTATGTTGACCTCTATATTCAAGTGTACAGTACACTTATTACTTACTACATCGTTTACGTAACTGAATTAATAGGGATTACTGTGGTCCCAATATAACTACATCTTATTGTTATAAATATGCCCTGTGTAGAATTAAAGCTACTGCACATTTCACATCAACATACTCTGTAAACTTGTGCAGTTTTCAGATTTTACATGTGAAAACACAAATATCACATGCATTTTTAAATTTTTTTTAAGATAATATTGATGATCACCCACAGAGGAAGAACTTTCACAGAGTAAGAGGACATGCAACTTCTGTCTTGATCTCTTCCTTTGGAGTGTTGGGTTCTCTACCTTGTGCTATAATTATACTTGATGTATTATGGATGCTGGGGTTGTACCTTGCATCAGCAAATGAGACAACACTATTGAATATCACTGTGTTTGTACAACACTGACACTTTGACCTCATGTGTCTTAATGTAATGTAAGCAATGCGTCTATCTGGTTACTGAAATTAATTTATAACGCAATCCTATAAAAGTCTGTGTCATGTGAAATTAAAACCCTTTATTACAGCATGCTACTGCCATCAAGAAAGGTCTACATGGACACACCCAGAATACTAAGGGCATCCTCAGTCTGCGGTGTCAAAGAGACACTAAAACTGTGACGAATCTCTCAAATTACATCCCTGGATTCCATCTCCAAGTTTGTTGAAACTTCTAATGAATCTCTTCATTCCCAGTCTGCACAGCTGCTCATGCTGAGGGAGAGAGAGAGAGAGAGAGAGAGAGAGAGAGAGAGAGAGAGAGAGAGAGATTCAGGAAGTTAAAGAACAAATTAAAGTCTGCCCGTTGCTTTTCAACCAGACTCAAAGATAACTCCTTTTACTGCATTGGATTCCCATTCTGGAGGCTTGACTGGCAAATTCCGAGTTAATTTGCATAGCAGAAAAAAAAAAAAAAAATCCTATAACACCACGAGACGCAGAGAATGTGATAATATTTCAATTTATGGGGATGATTCATAAACTACTGCACACAGTTGTGTGCAATTGTGTGACAGGAAAAGACATACAGAAATAGAGGGAAGGAAGATTTAAGAGGCTCATTCAACAGGAACTGTTTGTCATTCCACAGCTAAAATATCGATTAGAATAAAGTGGCATTCTCTCAGCTATTCATTTATCTAACACATTTTATGAGAACATCATCATTTCATCTCTCCCTTCTC